GTATTTGTGAATATTTGGACACTGAAATTAGGCTAACCCTATATAAACGAGTTTGTGTTCAAGAAACACAGAAGTATTTGACTAGTTCAAAAATGGACTATTAAATATGTGTTTATTGTCTGAAGGGGCAATGCTCCCTCAAAAATCCAAATGAAATATATGAGTCAATGTGGTTAGATGAGAAAAAGTGTGGTATGATGTGGCTTAGTTTGGTTTGACATATTGTGGTATTACGTCATAATAAGGTTATGGTTATTCAATAATATTCAGTACCACCAATAGTCTTTACCTCTAGATCCTTAATGATAGCAGGATATAAACGTCTATAATAATCATTATTTGGAGGATCTGGAGCTTTGGATTTAAATAAGTAAAGTCCCCTAAAATAGAAAAAATTCTGATTTTAGTAGGAAATTTGACCAATGCAAACACTTACTTAAAAAAGCCATTAGTGAAGGCAACCGAAACAAAACAAATAGGCAGTGCCTAATATGAAATACCTCAATTAAATACAGAAAAACATAATAATTTGAAAAAATCAATCTAAGGCTGTTTATTGGGTTGAAGGAATCCAAAGAATTCTAGTATCACCTATAATTTTTCTCATTCATCAGTTGAATCCCAGCAAAAATTTCTAAAGATAAATTACTACTTTGCAATAATTCTATTATAAGTAGACAGAAAAGAAAATATTGAGAACTTCTTATACTAATAACTTGCCTACCAGGAAGTGTTTATTTTCTTCCAAGTATGCAAACTAATTTATAATTTTTGAGGCGTAATCAAGAACTCCTCAGAGAAAATTCCTTTTCAAGGGTTTATATTTTTAGTATGCAATTTTCAGAGTAATCAGGTCTGAACTCTTCACTGACTATGCTTTTTTCAAAGGCTTTTCAAGTGCCCACTACTGTGATTCCCAGTTACAAACAACCAACTACAGAACTTCATCACAAACGACAAATTGAGTTGTGGTGGATGTCAATTAAAAGGTTTTTTTTAATGTCCATCAAGTTCCTTAAATTTGGATGTGCACACAACCTTGAGAAAATGGTCTAGAAACAATAGAAATCCTTTTGATTGACGTCCACCAGAACTCAATTTTTCGTTTGTCCAGTTGGTTGCATGTGACTGGGAATCGCAGAAGTCTTTAAAGGGTTTAAGAAATAATATTATCTTTGATATCAGTACTACCTGACTAAGACAACCTACCAGCCTTGCCGCTCGGCTAGTCCACTCCATAATGGGTCTGTTCTAACTTTCCTTTCAATCAGTTTTTTCCACAACATGCCATCCGCAATAACCCTTCTCCACTCTTTACAAACCACCTCTGCTGCACACAGTGAATTTGCATCCAAATATGATAGGATATTTTCTGCTATGTGATCAAGTCCTTTTGCTGTGAAGAGTCAACAAAACAAACAGTCAGATAAAAAGGAATGAAGACAGAATAGTCAGGTAGAATATCAGAAGACAGAGTTAGAATATTGCAAGTGAACAGAGGTAACAAATCAGACCGTGTGGTGTGGAAGAGCAGTTGATTGGGTTGTCAACTACAAAAGTCTGCATAAATGGTCATAAATTAAATGCACAAGTGCACTGCAAAATCCTCAAATTAAACTCCCACTTTACCATGAAATAGGATGAAATTTTTCTAATTTTGTTGCCATAGCAGATTTTCCATATTCTGCTTGATAGACTTAATCTACGTAACAATGATAAATGAAAGGTACATTTGAACTCGAACAACTATCTCAAGTTTGAATTACTATTTCAAATCGAAACCATCTATCAGACTTCATCAAAATACACTAGCAGAATCTTCAAAATGGTTCCTAGAAATTTATTTTGCTTTTTCTTTTGATATTAGGCTTGGGATAATCTGTAGATTATGGATAAAGATGAAATGGATCTGAAGTACTGGATTATTATCATTTTTGTTTCAAATGCAATGAAAAACAATTGTATCGAAGAAATCATTTTTATAGTATTTTTTCCCTCTTGACCTTTGAATTGAAAACACATTATGAACTTAACACAATGTAAGCAATATAGGAAAGAATTTCTATTGTCGATGAAAAGACATATGTATACTAGCTGACAGTCCAGATCAGATGGTACTTGCAAGATAGCAATAATAAGATAACTAGGATATTGGAAATAGGAGACAGTACTAATACACTTACGACAATATCATCAAAATTCTCTTATATCAATGGTTTCTATAGCAACCATATCACGCAATATTATCATTGGCTGTGTTGGGGGTAAATAGATCAAAAGATTCCAAAGTGGAAAGAAATGCCTTTGATAATATCATAGTATGTTTCGGATGTCGTGGTTGTCTGATTATGCAACTAGTAAGACAGGAAATAGCAGCTTGTCTGTTTTTTAAACTCTATTTAAAATATAGGAGGAATTGCATGACATTCTGCCGTAACATACGTACTTCCTTGGTAGTATTTTTTTTWAATAACTTATAATGACAGGAGTTTTTAACATCATAACGAGCTGGTATTCAGCAATTTTGCCATAATACTGTTACATAATATATGGCCAGAAAAAATATCAAAAGTGGATAACCACTCATTTTAATCAATGGGCAATTTTAGTAATATGTTGTAATAAAGTTTGGTTATGTAATGCCACTAGTCAGCTTTCCTTGAGGCACATTCCAGTATTAATTATTATTACGATCATTAAAAATAGGTATTATCAATATCATTAGCATCTGCGGTGTGTGGTAAGGGGAGCTAAGTGCTGACAGTCTGTCTGAACAAACATTATGACCAGGTGTTTCATCAAGCTTTATAAACAACATAAAATAGCTAGTTTTACCATCAAAGACTATGATGATGTGAAAGGGCTTAATAGAACATAAATTAAGCTGCTCTTAGATTAAATGAGACTTAATACCAAGTACCTAAGTGATAAAGCAAGACTGACATACAGAATGGGAGAAAAATAATGACATAAGTAAAGTAAAGAGATATTTATTAGATAGCGTGGCTTGTATATGCAAAATGTGGAACAATTCTTATCTTTTTTGATAACACCTTAGATTGTTGTGGCGAATCATTTTAATTAAGGAAATTTAACTACCTTAAAGAACAAACCCTGTTAAGCAAAACAATGAGTTATATTTAAAAAAAGAAGTTTATAGGAAAAGACTTCCTTGTGCAAAAAGTAAAGTTTGGGTTAATGACGTTCATATTGATAACAATCTATCGCTATTATACCGTAAAGATGGCCTATAAAAACACAAAAAAGCCCATCAGAGAAAATAGGAGTTAAATAGAATTAAAAATGGTGACTTAGAATTGAATAAAATACCTGGTAAAGCGGTAATGAAGTCTCGTTGAAGCATAGGTTTTAAGTATGCATTAACATGGCCGTGTTGGTAATGACACATTCGGGATAACAGATATTCTACAAACTCGACTTGCTCGCTCTCTGTCCATTTTTCAAATGTGCTCATACACAGATCTCGTTGTTGATAAAACAATGTCAATCTTTCTTCACTATCTTGGGATTTCTGTAAGCTCTCTTCGGTCGCCATGGCCTGGAGAATGAGTCGAAGAAATAACAAAACACCTCGATTAGCTTTCGTTCAACCTGGAATTTTCCACACAAAACAAATCCAATTCGTTGGATTAAAACCATAAATATATTATCAAATGTTTACTTTATCGTCCTTTTTGTTGTATCCGATCAGATCGTTACTTATTCCTATAAAAATATAGCTGTAATATTCTCAAAAATATTGAAAATCCGAAAAAATTTAGCTTCGTCTCTGCCTACCTCAAGTGACATCACTAGACGCACCACTGAGCATGCGTCGTCTCATCGATTAGATATCGATTGGTAGTTCCCAGACTTTTCCTCGATTCTCAAACCGGAAGTCGATACGCTTTGATACGATCGACCGCCCTTTTTGAACACGTCCATCCGTAACGTCTACGTCTTGCTGTGTCGAACAAAATATTGCTTTGACATGTTGAAACATTTAGAAGGGAATTTCTGCAGGAATAACGAATGAATTCTATCAAATATCCAGGCATCCGGTGAAATATTTGCAACCGGAAGAATTAAAAAATATTATTTTATTAGTTCCTTTAGATATTCCTTCCCCCTCCCTTTTAGATTTTATTTTATTTTTGGAAGTGTTTCATTTTAACTTTTACACTTAAAGATGTTTTATAAGCTATACAGACATAAGCCACGAAAACAGTGCTTGGGTTGCCTGTGGTTTATCAGTTTGTCGAATATTTCTGCTCGGCGAAACTCTCTCTCAGCTCTCGAAATAATTTTTAGGTATCTGTATTCAAAGGGAGGTATAGAGTCTTACGAAAAAATACGAGAGAAAAACAAGGTTTAATCAGAATAAAACATGATTGATGATGGTTTACTAATAGACCACGTGATTGAGTCACGCCCACTTATCACCAGGATACTGAAACAACCACCTGCGCTTTAACCAATTTGTGAGCCACATTGGCGAGGTTTTCGATACAAAACAGCACGCCAAATCGAAAACTGCATTAACCTTTTTTCATGCAAAAATTAAATTGAAACAAGGGTTGGCATAAATAATATGGCTCTCTTGGTAAAACTTAAAAACTGATACCACATAAACTTTTCTTATAATATATTTTWAAAAAATTGGGAATTTTGATTAGAGAAAAAGTTTCCTTGATAGATATTTTTGGAAAAATCACCTTTATTATTGTGAGATAATAAATAAATAATATATTTGGGTTACCTTTCCAAAAATATGTAGAAGACTGGGAATGAGAGGTCAAACTTGGCTGAGAAGATTTGGGCCCGACTATTCAAGTTCGGAGATTTTCACTGTACAACTGAGAGAAAAAGTTGATTTTTTATATCGAATTTTGTATAATATTTGAAAGTTTGACGCCCCCTTGCCTTAATCTCTGGATAAGAAGGGCTTCTGGAGTTGCAAAGTCGTGAAAAATGGATAAAAAAAACAATGTAAGTTTGACTTTTCTCTCTCGTGTTAAACTCACGTGGTCAGAAACTGTAACCTAGAGTTTACTAAATAAACTCAAATATTTTTGTTTTTTACTGACCTTTTCTTTCATATTAAATAGTAAGATAGTCATATCAGAATATTTAAACAGATTGATAAGCATTCAAGGAAAGCCGGAAGACTTTTTTCATTCAAAACGCTTATGAGGATATAAATGTCAACAAGGAACATGGAGTACAAATGCTAGAGTTATTTGATCTACTACTGTGTATTTATAAAAACACTCTAAAACCATGCAACATAATTAGCACTAAATAGTACTGCTAAATAGTGTCACCTTTTGTTTACTATCATCTAATTATCACTAAACCCATGAGATAGAACTAATACAAGAGTAAATGGTTTGAACCCAGGTGTTGAAGTTTGTTGTGAAATGTGATCATGCGGATGAGTGTAGTCTTGAGAAAGACTGTTGTTTGTGATGACTGACGTTTCGACGACCTAGTGGAAGTCATCTTCAAAGTCCAGTGCAAGGGCGGATCCAATGGGAGGGTCGGGGGGTCGCGGCCCCCTGTCATTCCTGAGATCAAATGGGCTTCTTGTGGTAAAAATGCGACTGGGATTCCTTTGCCCACAAAATTTACCCCTGAAACCCCCCTTCAAAAAAACCCTGGATCTGCCCTTGCAGTAAGACTTGTTTTCTCACTGGACTTTGAAGATGACTTCTGCTCAGGTTGTCAACAACAGTCTTTCTCAAGACTAGACTCACCCAGACAATCACATTTCACAACAAAACAACTAATACATATTAGTATTTTTACACCAGTGAATATGATAAATCCGGCACACACATTGGTCACAATTTATGTCTTATGCCGTAATATTCACCTACAGGTGAATATGAACATGCATACGCACTCTCGTTTTTCAATTTGTGCTGATTGCAGACATAGACCCTAATTCCATTGTTTGTTTGTTTTGTGTGTCTATTTGACATTTGAAAACTCATTAATAATTCATGAAG